AGGGCACTGCACTGCTGTTTTTCCTGCCCAGGACATTCTTCCTCCCTCCTGGCCCACTCCCTTATTTCATTCAGGCCTTTCTTCAGATGTCACCTCCTCAGAGAGCCCTGCCCTGACTACCTCATCTGCAGTGCCCCTCACCCTTTCTGCTCTGTCTCAGTTTTGTGTGCTCATTACCACCTGCACCCACATTCCTCCCTGTATTTGCAAACCGCTGGTCTCCCTCCCTGGAACAGGACCTCCCCAAGGGAAGGTCTTTGTGCTGTGTCCCTGTACCTTCTGTACCTGGCACAGGCCCGACACACGGCAGGCCCTTAGGGAAGGGCAGTAGTTCCTCTCAGAGAATTACAGGGTCCGGCACACATAACACCCCCTTTGTATTACAAAATCTTTCATCACAAAGTCATAAGCGTGTAATTCTGTAACATAACAATATCACACCCAAGTACACCATGTGACACTTTAGGTGAAATGTTCAAATTAAATTAAATGTTCAAATTAAAACTATAAGAGTTATTATATCCAGATTATTACCCTATGAATCACACTCAAGCAGGCCTTACTTCTGCTGGACCCTATAGATCTGGGCTTCATGAACCAGGTCATAGTCCAAGGTAGTGAGTTCCCTGCCCAGGGAGGCATGCAAGTAGAGTTTGGGATTCAAGCCTTCATGCAGGTTGGATGAGCTCTAAGCTTCTGTGATGGGCATAGCTGGGCTCCTGCAAGTTCATGGTATGGGGTCCTCCTGGGATTTCCATCACAGCTTCACAGAGTAAACAAGCCAGAGAGTCAAAGGCTGACCCACATCTGCCTTCAGAGGGAGGTTGGAAGGTACAGCAGGGAGGGAGAGAAGGAGGGGTGGTTTCAGGTTTCCTTTTGGGTCCTGACAGAATTAGGGCTGAAGAGGAAGAGGAGGAAAAAGGAGGAATGCAGGCTAGGAGGTGGCAGGGAAGGTGAAAAATGGGCAGGGATAGAGGGACATGGTCACACTGAGTCTGTGTTTCCTGCCCTTTCCCTGGGTTCAGAGAGCGCTCACAGGAGCTGCATGTGCCCTCTGAGTCCACCTTCTTGGGGGAGGCCCCATGCTCCACTGACTCGAGGGGTCCACAGCCGGAAAGTCAAAGCTGTTTGGGCCTGCAGTCCTGGCTCCCAGGACCAGGACCAGGTGAGGCAGGAGAGGTGTGTTTTCAAACAGTGTACCCTAGGTGCTTCTCCTGCCTCAGCCTAGTCTCAGCCCCGCTAACTCTGTAAAACAGTTCCCATCAAATGGACATGGAGTTCCAGTTTGGACATTCCAAGTGTCGGGTAACTCACCACCTGACTTTCCAGTTCTAGACCATTCACACTGGTAAAGAGGGACTGACCTTTGTCAGGGCCTTGCTGAGTGGTGGGTGCTTCACACCTGGCTCTCCCAGAATCTCCCTCTGGAGAGGAGGGGTAAAGGCTCTGAGAAGGGGCCAGTCTACCCAGGGTTACACAGCAAGTGAGGGACAGAGAGAGGTTGTATCTGGGGTGGGGTGGGGGACTATGAGGCTGGCTCTCAAATTTCCACCCTGGAGTCTTAGTCCTGGCACCCACCTTCTGCAGAGATGGCTGACAGACCAAGCTCCAGGGAGCAGTGAGATGGGGCTGGTCAGGCCACGAGTTCAGTGGTTGGCTGGCCACTACACATGCCACTGGGTGCCTTGTGGTTGCATCTTAGCCTGTGTCATCTGCCCCCAAGGCCCAAGGCCAGCCCTCCTCTCAGAGCCTTTCCTGACTCTTGCTGTCTTCAGAGGGTCCTTGAGTGACTGTCATCTTCCTCCTACCTCAGGTCTGGATGGGGTGGAAGCAGAACGCAAAGATGTGAGAAATAGAAAGCAAAAGGAGACAAGGCAATGTGCCAAGAAGAGAAGAAGGGGGTGGGAAAGGGAGGGGCTCACAGACTGGGGAACAGTAAGGGAAGGGTTGGAGGCATGAGGTCTGCTTTTGAGCCCTGGCCTGGACTCCAGCCTGGGTCCCATCTTCTTACTCAGATAAGTTAGTGTTTTACACCAGCACCGTTCGGTTATGTGTTTTTGAGGTGAGAGTGTGAGCACCCACAGGCAGAGGGCTGTGGCTGTGTTAGAGAAAAGTTCTGTTGTCCTTGGCACCCCCACAAGGCCATGGAAGGACCTGGAAAAGGGGGGAACTGGGTGTGTGTGAGAAGATAGGTCAATTTTCCTCATTGAAGCTCCTGAAGAGGGAGAGCAGCTGGGGCCAGGGGGGCTCCAGCCCCCTAGGACCATCTCCTCAGGTACCTTGCCTGTCTGCCTGGGATTCGGCCCCCTCCCAAGCTATCAGGAGCTTGGGAGCAGCAGGAGGGGTGGCTTGTGCTGTGGTTGGAGACTGGATCAGGCCTTGCTGGTGGTCTGTTTAGTCACAAAAGCCTGAGCTGCTAACCTGGGCTGCTGGCCAGGCTCTGTGTGTGTGTGTGTGTAACTCTGACCTCGCACAGAAGGGAAGATAGGCCTAGGTACCCCCTCAAAAGACCCCCAGAGCCTGTCACCCTAGGGCTTGACACCCTGCCTTCCTTACCTGTCCTAGGGATTGAGTTGCCTCTTGGCCTCCCAGGACCCTGCATTGAATAAGAGTCAGGCTTCACCGGGACTGCTGGGGGCCTGTAAGGCTTCCCGGGGCAGGGAAGACTTCACTGACCACACATACACCCTCCTATACCCAGGTCCCTGGGCAGAGGGACATCTGTGCTGAGAGTCAGGAGATTTACTTATTATCTGGATGTGTGTTTGGTGTAGGGGTTTGCCTTCTGCACTCTGGGCCTAGTTTCTTGGCAGTGACCTGTTATCGCGTGTTCCCGGGGCCGGTCCCATGATGCATCTACTCCAGGAAGGGGAGGCCCCGGCTCCCTGAGCCATAAATGCTTCTTGGTTCTGAGCACAACACCCATACCTCCTTTACTTCTTTTATTTGATGTCAAGGAGATGTGACTATCCATTTTTTGGAGGAGTAAACCAAGGCTTAGAGCGGTGAAGAGCTGCTCAGGATGTCAGCGAGCCGGTGGTTTCAAACACAGAGCGCCCCGGAGTTCCTCGGGCTTGTGCGCACTCCATGCGGGGCACTGACCACAGGTGGTAATGGAGGTGCTGGGGGCTAGAGCGGGAGCGCCGCGCAAGGTGACCGCCAGTAACCCAGGCAGCTGTCGGCGCTGAGCGGGTTAAGGGCAGACGCCCGCGGGTAACCCCGGCCCCGGCAAAGTCTTGGGGTGAAACCCGAACCTGAGCCACCGTCGGGTGGGGCAGGGGGCGGGGGCGGGGCCCCAGCTAGGCGGTGGCGCGGCGGCTGATTGGCCTTACTCGCTCACCCCACGCCCGGCCCGCGGCCGAGGGGGCGGGCGCGGGCCCGAGCCTCGGGAAGGGGCGGGGCCGAGGGGCCGGGCGGAGCGCTCCTCCCGCTTTTAATGCGCCCCGGAGCCGGGCGTGGCGAAGTCGACGCGGAGACCCGCAGGCCAGCTTCCGGGACACCCCAAGGGGTGGCAGGCCGCGGAGTCATGGATTGCACGTTGGAAGGTATTTTTTGGAGGACCCCCACCCCTTCATTACAGAGCCTCCACCTCCGCTGTGGGGTCACTCACCCCGGTTCCCTGGAGGGTGTGTGTGTGACTGGCGTCTGTTGGAATATGAATGGGAAAAAAACGGTTGCCGAGGGGGAGGTGTACCACTTCCCAGCTCCCAGGAGGGATAGTGGACCACCCTTCAACCTCATTAGTTTCCCCCATCCTCTGCCGTCCGTCTGGGGCACTGGAGGAAGGACCCGAGAGGGGGCCAGTGGTCTTTCTGTTGCCCAGGGGAGCTCTGGATTGTCCAAATCCGGGACCCCAGCCCTGGATTTAGTCAGGACCAGTTTTCTTTCGGTTCCGCAGTTTCCCCATCTATTAAAGGGCTCAATGAGGACTGGGGTGAGGGATGGGAGATCCTGCTAGTGAAAATACTTTATGCCCTCGTAAACCTGGAGGGCCCACAAAATATTTCTGTTGGAGAACCCAGGAGACAGCCCAGCACCCCATCTTGCTCTCTCAGAGGTCTTAGGGAGGCCCCTCGTGCAGTGACTTTGTTGTCTGGGCACCTATAGGTAGGAAGGAATTGGCCACTAATGAGGCCCCACTCTGTGCTGGCTGCCTGCCTGCAAAGCCTCTTAGCAGCCCTGCAGAAGGGGTTTAATCTCTTTTGTTGTATGGATGAGGGATGAGGAAGCTGAGACACAGTGAGAGGAGACCATTGGCTCAGGCACCACCTCAAGTCAGTGTGGACAGGGCTGAGAACTCTGGCTGGGGACCCTGGGGGCTATGGGGCTCCCAGAGTGTGCTCGTGGGTCCTGCAGGGTACTTTGACCCAGTGGGCAGCTGCCCATAGTGAGTGAGAGGACCCCAGGATGACCCGGCCAGGTTGCCAGTTACCCTCCGTTGGGGGCAGGGGGCTGTAGTGGAGTGTGTGTCCTAGTTTTCAGGAGGAGGAAGGAATCAGGACAGACAGCATTCACTTTTCCCCCTGTATAGAGGGACTCTAGAGTCCCGAGTGGCCGGGTCCCAAGGGTGCTTGGCTACAGAGTCTGGGCTTGTGCCCAGAACATGCAGAGACACACTGCTTGGCACACGCATGCCCAGCAGCTGACTCTGCCCCAAGCCTTGGTCTGGTCCACAGAGTATGAATTGGTAATGGCTCTTAAATCGGCAATCTTGGACCAAGCTCCAGCCTACGTGTGGGACAAGTTAATAGGCCTTGTGGGGCCTTGGCCCTGCATGTCACTGAGCTTATCTAATTGTTGCAAGGGGTTTCTGGTAACCTGTGAAGCACTAGGCATTGCTACTAGATGTCACAGGTGCCTAAGAAATGGCTGTGTACCTGGGACCACAGTCTTGCATATGTACAACAGTGTGGACAAGTAGTGTGCCAGTGTGTGATGCCTTTTACAGGGTCAGTTCCCATAGGCTCCACAGTCCCTTACATAGCCTCTTCTTTCCCCAGACATGCTTCAGCTCATCAACAACCAAGACAACGACTTTCCTGGCCTGTTTGACCCGCCTTATGCTGGGGACAGGGCAGGGGGCACCACCCCCACCAGTCCTGAAGCCAGCTCCCTGGGCAGCTTGTCTTCACCTCAAGCCACTATGAGCTCCGCACTTGAAGGCTTTCTGGGGGGGCCCAAGGCAATTCCCCCACCATTGTCCCCTTCCCAGCCTGTACCCACATTGAAGATGTGCCCCTCTGTGCCTGCCTTCTCCCCTGGGCCTGGTGTCAAGGAGGAACTGGTGCCGCTGACTGTTCTGCAGCATTCCACCCCACAGCCTCTGCTGGGGGCCCTCCTGCCCCAGAGCTTTCCAGCCCCAGCCCCACTGCAGTTCAGCTCCGCTCCAGTGTTGGGGTACCCCAGCCCTCCCGGAGGCTTTTCCGCAGGTAAGGGGGCATGTGGAGGGAGAGGGATGGCAGGAACAGGGGGAAGCGTTCACTTTGGTTGTGGTGGAAGAATTTGCAGGATTTAGAAAGCTATCTCCTCTCTGCTGCTTGAGATACTGATTAGCAGCACCTATGTTCCCGTTGTTCGGCTAAGCCTTGCCTCCCATTCCACTGGGGCGTCCGCCTCAGTGCTGCCCATCCAGAGACACAGGCCTGGCTGGAAAGCTAACATGTTCACATCAGAGCCCCAGGCAGGGGATGTTGACAGAGAAAACTGAGGCCACACAGGTAATGACTCACCCAAGGTCACACATGCTAGGGACCTGAGGGCAGGTTGGAAGTGGGGTAGGGCAGCTTGTACCAGAGACTTCATCTCTGCAGGGAGCACTCCAGGGAGCACTCCACAGCCACTGCCTGGCCCACCAGGGGTCCTGCCCTCCTCCTTGCACACCCAGGTTCAGGGTGCAGCCCCCCAGCAGCTGTTGACAGCCACAGCCACCACCACAGTAGCCCTTGGAACAAACAGTGTGACCTCGCAGATCCAGCAGGTCCCGGTAAGGGGGTTTGTCCAGGGGCTGGGGAGCTGGCAGCTCCTGGTCCAGACAGAGCTTATAGCAGAGACCTCCCCTGCCCCCAGGTGCTGCTGCATCCCCACTTCATCAAGGCAGACTCGCTGCTTCTGACAACCATGAAGGCCGACACAGGAGCCCCTGTGCAGGCAGCTGGTGTCGGCTCCTTGGCCCCGGGCACAGCTGTGCAGACTGGGCCCTTGCAGGCGGGTAGCATGGGCAGGGTGGGAGGGTACAGGATCTGTGCACATGCATGCCTGCCTGGTGACGCATACCTGGCTCTACAGACCCTGGTGAGCGGTGGAACCATCCTGGCGACCGTGCCGCTGGTGGTGGACACTGACAAGCTGCCCATCAATCGGCTGGTGGCCAGTGGGAAGTCCCTGGGTTCGGCCCAGAGTCGTGGTGAGAAGCGCACCGCCCATAATGCCATTGAGAAGCGCTACCGCTCCTCCATCAATGACAAGATCATCGAGCTCAAGGACCTGGTAGTGGGCACTGAAGCAAAGGTGCGGGTGAAGGCCTGCACAGGCACAGAGTACGGTGACTCTGGGCAAGGGGGCAGTGGGTAGGGAGAGAAGGACTTGGGCTGAGCCTGGACAAACCAGGCCTTGGGCTTCAGTCTGCCCAGGCCTGATCAGCTTTATTTATCCAGCTAAGCTTTATAGAGGGCCTCTTGTGCACCAGAAGCTGTTCTAAGCACTGGGGATAAAGAAGTGACCAGGCAGGCAAAAATGCTCCTGTTGAGGAACCAACATTCTAGTTGGGGGAATGACAATAAATAAGATAAATATGGAACGGTTAGCCAAAATAATTTTAGGACTGTACAAATGGAACTACTCCTTAACTGCCACAGTTGAAATTACATTCTACCCTTTGAAGGCAATTGCAAGGCTGGAAATGAGTTTGACACCTCTGGGTTAGAGTATGACAGATGGTGTTAAGTGCTATGGGAGAAAAGAAGGCAAGAAGAGGGATGGTGAGTTGCAAATCTGAATCAGGTGGTCAGGGAAGGAAGGCCTCACAAAGTGCTATGATGCAAAGCAGACCTGAAGAAGGTGAAGGAGTGGGACGCGAAGATGATAATAATAATAGCAGTTAGTGAGATGGTACTGTATGTATTTTACATATTAATTGTTATGCCCATCCTGTGAGGAAGGTACTAGGGGAGGAACATTCCATGTAGAAGGAATAGCAAGTGCAAAGGTCCTGAGGCAGCTGTGTTACAAAGAAGCCCTGACCCCCCCCCCTTAGGTGCCCACTTGCCAGGCCTGACTGGTAACTACTATGCTGTCTCTCTCCCACTTCCTGCAGCTGAATAAATCTGCTGTCTTGCGCAAGGCCATTGACTACATTCACTTTCTACAACAGAGCAACCAGAAACTCAAGCAGGAGAACTTGAGTCTGCGCACTGCTGTCCACAAAAGCAGTGAGTCCTGGCCTCCCATGGCCTATGGTTCTGGCCCTGCCTCCAGCGCTGCCCCACCCCTGGTCTCACCTTAAGCTCTGAGCCTGTAAGGGCTCTTCGCCCTTCCTTTTTCCTAATTTGGCCCTCAGAAGCTAGGCCAACTCCCAGTCCCCTTCCCCAGGACCCTAAGTTAATTTGGGTGGGTGGGTGTCTCTGGCCTGTACCCTCAGCCCTGCTCCTCTCCCTCCTGTAGAATCTCCGAAGGACCTGGTGTCTGCTCGCGGCAGCAGCAGGAACTCCGATGTGCCCATGGAGGGCATAAAGCCCGAGGTGGTGGACACACTGAGCCCACCACCTTCGGACGCGGGCTCACCCTCCCAGAGCAGCCCCTTGTCCCTTGGCAGCAGAAGTAGTGGCAGTGGTGGCAACAGCAGTGACTCGGAGCCCGACAGCCCAGCCTTCGAAGACAGCCAGGTTGGGCTCTGCACCATGGCCCTTTCTGGTCTCAGTGCGCTAGGGCTGGGCCAGGAAGAAGCCCCTAACATGTATCACCTCCTGTTTTGTAGACAGAAAACCTGAGGCCTGGAGCCCTGCAAGGCCCCACAGTCAGGGTGGGTGGAGTGCTGGTCCCTCCAGCAGTGCTCTCCGGGCCACTCCCACTCTGTCCTCACCACCCTGCTTCACCCCAGCAGGTGAAACCGGAGCAGCTGCCATCCCCCCACAGCCGGGGCATGTTGGACCGCTCCCGCCTGGCCCTGTGTGCTCTCGTCTTCCTCTGTCTCTCCTGTAACCCTTTGGCTTCCCTGCTGGGCAGCTGGGGTCTTCCTGGCTCCTTGGATGCCACCAGCACCCAACAGGGTCCTGGACGCAACGTGCTGGGTGCTGAAGAGAGAGGTGGGACAGGCCAGCATGGACACCTCTGGCAGAGAGGTAGCAGGGGGACTTTTGGGTGTGTAGACCCCAGGCCTCTGGGCTTGGGCTCTGCACTTCCTGGGAGCTATGTCCCCAGCCCTTCTGTCTGCCCCCAGATGGCCCTGCCTGGGCACTGAGGCTGGTACCCCCACTGGTCTGGCTGACTAATGGGCTGCTGGTGCTGTTCTCCTTGGCACTTCTCTTTGTCTATGGAGAGCCAGTCACACGGCCCCACTCGGGCCCTGCCATGAACTTCTGGAGGCATCGTAAGCAGGCTGACCTGGACCTGGCTAGGGTAAGGGGCAAGGAGAAACCTGGGGGTTTCCTGGGAAGGTGCTTGGCATCACCTACTCTCCCTTGCCCTCTGGGTGGGCCATGAATCTGCCCTGTCCTCTTCACTCTTGTCTCCCACTGACCCTTGGTGGCCCAGCTCACACTGCCGGGGGACATCGGAGTCATAGGGGGAGCCCAAAGTAGAGGGATCTTCCATTCAGAGCTAGAAGAAATGCCATGCTTCACCCAGAAAACCATCACCCACAGGGGGACTTTGCCCAGGCGGCCCAGCAGCTGTGGCTGGCACTGCAAGCACTGGGCCGGCCCCTGCCCACCTCCCACCTGGACCTGGCCTGTAGCCTGCTCTGGAACCTCATCCGCCACCTGCTGCAGCGTCTCTGGGTGGGCCGCTGGCTGGCAGGTCGGGCTGGCGGCCTGCAAGGGGACTGTGCTCTGCAGGCAGATGCCCGCACCAGTGCCCGAGAGGCGGCCCTTGTCTACCACAAGCTATACCAGCTTCATGCCATGGGTATGATGGGCAAGGAGCAGGCCTAGGGGATTCAGCCACCTCCGACAACAGCCCAGCTTCACGCCCTGCCTGTTTTCCAGGGAAGTACACAGGTGGACACCTCACTGCTGCCAGCCTAGCGCTGAGTGCAGTGAACCTGGCAGAGTGTGCAGGGGACGCCCTCTCCGTGGCCACGCTGGCTGAGATCTATGTGTCTGTTGCCCTGACCATCAAGACCAGTCTCCCGCGGACCTTGCATTTCCTGACTGTGAGTCGGGGGTAGGCTGGTGGGGACAGGGCTAGGGGCTTGCTTGGCTTTGTAGCTCTGGCCAGTGGCTCTTAGAGAAGGGGCTGCACTGTATGAGGCCTTTGATCACAGGCTGGGCTCCAGGCCCAGCTGGGGTCTCAGCCCAGGGTCAGGTTTGAGCCCTGCCTGGCCCAGTGTGACAGCCCACCTCCCCTCACTCACAGCGTTTCTTCCTGAGGAGTGCTCGCCAGGCCTGCCTGGCACAGAGTGACTCGGTACCGCTTGCCATGCAGTGGCTCTGCCACCCTGTGGGCCACCGTTTCTTTGTGGATGGGGACTGGGCCGTGAGCAGACTCCCCAGGGAGAGCCTGTACAGCTCTGCTGGAAACCCAGGTGCTGTCTCACCCCGGGCCCCTCCTCATCCTTTGTTTTCCATTCCCTTTTTCTCATCCTCACTCCTGCCCCATCCCTCTCCCCTGCATCTGTGGATGTCCCTACCCACCCCTGTCTGTTGCCTGGCCATCTGCTGTGGCTTTGGGGGCTGGGTCTCTCCCAATTAGGGCTCTTCAGAAGCAAATGGAGACAGGGAGACAGATCTGCAGGCAGGCGGTTGATTTGGGAGGCAACCCAGGCAACAGCCCTGCGCTGTGAGGAGGTCGGACAGGGGAAGACAGCTGATGAGGGAGTGTTAAGGAGTAGATGGCACCTTCTGAGGTCAGTTATCCTACGGGCAAGGACAAGGGTGCTTCGTCACCAATTTTTATCTGTCCCAGAACCAAGCCCACCCCTGTGCCCCTGAAAGAACCCTTGGTGTGGAGAGGGGGATATGGAGAGTAGAAAGTCCCCCAACTCACACCCTCCTCCCCACAGTGGACCCCTTGGCCCAGGTGACTCAGCTATTCCGAGAATATCTCTTGGAGCAAGCACTGAATTGTGTAGCCCAGCCCAGCTCCAGCCCCGCATCAACTCTCGGGGACAGGTGAGTATCCCCATTGCCCTCCGTGAGGCAAAACCCCTCCACTGTGGGGTCTGGGAATGGCTGTCCAGGGACTTGTGGAGGTGCCCAGAGCCAAGTGACTAGCCACTTACTCAGTGGCCCCAAGTAGATCTCAGTTCCTCTCTGGGTTTTAGTGTCCCCACCAGCCTGGCAGGAGGAGATTGGGCCACTTTATAGAGCCAGGAAGTCAGGCTCTGCTCTGGTAGGAAGATGAGAAGGGTCACTGCCCCCGTTCTAATGGCCAGTCCCTCCTGCCACAGGGAATTCTCAGATGCCCTTGGGTACCTTCAGCTGCTGAACAGTTGTGCAGATGCTGCCAGGGCTCCGGCCTGCACCTTCTCCGTCAGCTCCAGCTTGGCCACCGACACAGGTGAGCCCCGGGCCCCTGCCCTGTGACTGCCACTCAGTGCCTGCTCCACAGCAGCTCAGCCTCAGGTGCGGTGTGGCTGAGTTTCAGGGAGCACCCCCATCTGCACCCCGCTCCCTGCAGGCACAGACCTGGTGGCCAAGTGGTGGGCCTCACTGATAGCTGTGGTGACCCACTGGCTGCGGCGGGATGAGGAGGCAGCCGAGCGGCTATACCCACTGGTGGAGCGCCTGCCCCGTGTCCTGCAGGAGTCCAAGTGAGCGCTGGCCAGATTGGCCGCCCGGCATCGTGTCCCCCACCTTGTTCTGCCTAGTTGGGATCGCCACCCTTTGTTTCCCATGAAACTGGAACCAGGGCAGTGGAAGCTCAGTGAAGGCCTGTGGCCTGGTCTGACCATCCCTCCTCTGCCTCGGCCCCAACAGGAGACCCTTGCCCAGGGCAGCTCTGCACTCCTTCAAGGCTGCCCGGGCCCTGCTGGGCCGTGGGAAGACAAAATCTGGCCCGGCCTGCCTGGCCGCCTGTGAGAAGGCCAGTGGGTACCTGCAGGACAGCCTAGCTACCACACCAGTTGGCATCTCCATTGACAAGGTGAGGGTTGGAGCCAGGGGCCTGGTAGTCTGCAGGGTCATAGCCTTTCCACTCCCGGGCCATCCCTGCACAGGCTGCAGAAGGCTGGGGTTGGCCTGATAGTATAGGACTGGGGCCCAACTGGCTGCGCTCTCTGGCTGACTCGGGTCTCTTGGAGAGTAGTTACCACCGTTCAGCCCTAAATTCCCGCCCCCCGGCCCAAGGAGGGATGGGGTGAATGATATGGCAGGGCCTTCCTTGGAGGCTGCAGCGGTGGCTGGTGGTGGGTGTGGAGGCCTGGAGAGGTGGGCGGTCCCGAGGTGCATTGCTGTTGCATTGCATGTGTGTGAGGTGGGTGCAGTGCCTCGGCAGTGCAGCCCGGAGCCAGCCCCTGGCACCACAGGCCCCCGCCCCTCCCCCTCCAGAGCTGGAGCCCCCCAGTGACCCCCGCCCTGCCCGCCCTCCCCAGGCTATGCAGTTGCTCCTGTGTGACCTGCTCCTTGTGGCACGCACAAGTCTGTGGCTGCGGCAGCGGCAGCAGCCGTCTGCACCAGGCCAGGCCTTGCAGGCCCCAGGCGGTGGAGCCCTGCCCTCTGCCCTCGAGCTTCAGGGCTTCCAGCGGGACCTGAGTGGCCTGAGGCGTCTGGCGCAGAGCTTCCAGCCTGCCATGCAGAGGGTGAGTGCCCACCATGGGCTCTTCCCTTCACAGGGGATGTGAGGCAGCTGGTGTGGAGAGAGGGTGGGAGCCTGGCCTGAACCCCGACTCGCCTGGCCTCTCCTGCCCAGGTGTTCCTACATGAGGCCACAGCCCGGCTGATGTCAGGGGCCAGCCCCACGCGGACACAGCAGCTCTTGGACCGCAGTTTGAGGAAGAGGGCCGGTTCCTGTGGCAAAGGAGGTGAGAGGGGCCATGGACCTTGTAGAGGTGTGTGGGGGTGCCGGTCCAGCCTCATCTTCCCCACCCAGGTGTGTGTGTGGGGGGGTTTGCAGTGTTAAAGAATCCAACGAGGTGACCGTCATTTGTGGGATACATGACTGTGCACGTGTGTCTGTACCATGTCTGGCCCTGAGAGGGGACCAGACCTTCCGAGAGTGTGCCTGAGATCCAGATGGGGAGGCAGGGGACAGGCACTAAACCCCGCCCACACCCCACCTTGTGATGCGGCTTGTGTGCAGATGGGGTGGAACTGGAGCCACGCCCCACGCGGCGGGAGCAAGCCGAGGCCCTGCTGCTGGCCTCCTGCTACCTGCCACCCTGCTTTCTGTCGGTGCCTGGGCAGCGAGTGGGCGTGCTGGCCGAGGCGGAGCGCGTGCTGGAGAAGTTCGGTGGTCGCCCCCTGCTGTACAACTGCCAGCAGATGCTCCTGCGCCTGGGCGGTGGGACCACAGTCACCTCCAGCTAGACAGGCCCCCTCGCCCCAACCTGCCTGCAGTCAGGGCCCAGCACCCATTTTAAGCCACCTTGTTGCCTTCTGGGTCTGTCACGGGCCAGAGCCTCGAATGCTGAAGGCAGTGCCAGAGACCCCAGTGTCCACGGTTCACTTAAGGACTACACTGCATCGGCGGGGTTTGGGGAGGGGAATGGGACTTTTCTAGGCTTTTGCTACTTGCCCTGGGAGGCCAGAAGGGACTTGACCCAGTCACCCCTGCCCCCTCCCCAACCCGACTAGCAGTGACCAGGATGGTGCTGACCTCTGGTGGCTGATCAGGGGGTTGCAGGGGTCGGTCCAGTCTGTCACCTCTTGGCTCTGTAGGTGCCTAGTGGCTTTTCCCTGTGCTATGTAAGAGGGAAGATAGGGGGTACATGTCACTCAGCTGTGGGGTGGGGGGCAACTTGGCTTTCCTGGCCAGCAGGGGGGCCGTGCACCAACGCCCCTCTTTGCTTTCTGGAGAGATGTGTACATAGTGTAGATCAGGGTGCATCAGCCTCCTGGCCTCGGAGGCCCAAGTGTTACTTTGCCTTTTGCAAACTTTATTTTCATAGGTCAACGAAGTTTTGTACAGAGAATAAAAAGTGAAATTATTTATAATCTGGGTTTTGTTTCTTTGGGGAGGGTATGTGCTTCAGCTGATGTACTTGCTAATCAGAGGGGTCCTCTGTGCCTTCTCCCCAGCACCGGGGCAAAGGCCTTCCCACACATCTGCCACGAGGGACTAGATTCCCCTCTGTTATTACAGGAGGCCCAGGGAGGGCAGGTATGGCCTCCAGCTGACTTGGATCCCACTGACCTCTGGGCCACATTTGGGCCCCCGCTCCGTAGGGCCATTTGAGTTCAGCTGTCTTCTCTCACCTCCCAGCTTCTACTCCTGCCCACTCCCAGGGTGACATGGGGGACACACGGAGATCCAAGTGTCCTGTCCTCAAGGATGTGTTGACAAGAGCTAAACCTGGTGTGCCTGGGTTTGGGGTGTCAGTTTCATGTTTTCTCCCCCCGGTGCCTTGGTCACCAAGCTCTCACACCTGAGGAGGACGCCTTCCACCCCATTCTGACCCGGGGCTGCGTGGCAGAGGCGGGGCGTGCACTGTGCAGCAGGGGCTTGTTTCTTGCTCCTGCGAACTGCTAGGATGCCCGACTCTCCATTCGTGCCACCCGGGCTTCCCCTCCGTTTCCGTCCCGCACCTAAAGCCTGGCCCCTTTTCCCAGCGGAATCTGGTCAGAGTCCACGGGCTGCAGACTTCCAAAACAATTGTATCTTTATTGACTTTTTTTCTGAATGCAATGACTGTTTTTTACTCTTAAGGAAAATAAACATCTTTTAGAAACAGCTCAATACACACAATCTTCAGTGTGAAGCAATATACTAATAAGAACACTAGTCTTAACATTTACAGTCTTCATATATATTATATATATGTATATGTATACATATATATACACTATATAACGAAGCCAGATATAATACACACGTTTACCATTTTACAGTCATATGTACAGAAAGTTGCTAGGATGCCCCGGTCTGGGGCTGCCTCAGGCCTATCGAAGCATGGACAGAACTGAGGGCAAAGACAGGCTGGCAGAGGGACTGGCCTGGGCTGGTGGTGGCTGTGTGGGAAGGGGTGTCCTGGCTGTGGCCCCCTGCCCAGCAAGGGCCTGGTGCTGAAGAGTGCACAACGCACGGCAGCGACACGGCAGAAGCGAGCATGTTCCCAACATATATACATTCTATGCAACATATATATAGAGGGGTACACAGGTTTGTGCACAGATCTGGTGCTGCCTCTGCTCCTGAGCCCAGTGGGGGCTGCAGTCCCTGGAATCAGAGGTCCTGTGGAGACAGGCTGCTGGAGCTGTGCTCTGGTCCAAACTCCGGGGCTCCCTGGCTGGCTCCAGGGGCGGGGCAGAGGATTGGAAATGGGAAGAACAGAAGCAAAAGGAGTGCCCCCGGTCCAGTCTGTAGTACCCGGGGAGCCTGCATCCCCTGAGCCTGTCCCCAGACTCCCCTGGCTCTGCCCAAACTGCATGAAGGTTCTGAATGGTTTGTTCCAGCACTGTGAATTTGTTCCAAAACCTCAGGTCCACTCCCCTGTTGGCCTCGCACTCTCCAGAAAGGCCTCGGCTCCAGCTCCCCCTGTCCCCCTGCTTCCTTCTAGGAGCCACCCTCTGCCACCTCCTGGGGCCCTTTGGACCCCTACCCCCAGGGCGCCCAGCTGCATGTCGCACCCAGACTGGGCTGGTGGCAGCACCCATGTGTAATGTGTGCCACACTGATTTAGACCTTCCAGTGGAGCAGTTGACCCCAGCCTAAAGGCGTCGCCCCGCCCCGCGGAACCTGGGTACCCCAAGGAGTCTGGCCGCTCTGTGTGCTTCCCCTTTCCAAGCCTGGCCCAGAGGTGTGGGCAGAAACGCCATGTTGTCCAGTTCCAGGAGCAGGTGGCTCCAGAACGTGTATTCTTCCCAACCGGGGACCAAGCGGGTTCAGCCCTGGGCAGCCAGTCCAAGATCCGGGTCTGGATCCTGGACCGGCTCATGGAGCAGCTCAAAGGCCTGTACAGACGACCCCTCTCCTTCCTCGGGAGGGCGAGTGGCTCCGGCAGCTTCCCCCATGGCCTGGGTGTGTTACAATGGAAGCCTCTGCAGGAGAAGAGTACACACCCAAGTGCCTCATTACGCATGGCTGACACCCGCCAGCGGTCAATCCCCCCCGCCCCCTACCCCGCACCGCAGCTCACAGCTGGGCGGGGCAGGGAGCGGGAGGGGTGGGGCTGTTGGCCCCACGACAGGCTTGGTTCTCTGCACCTGGGGACCCTTGTCTCCGGCTTGTCCTCCCACAGGGCCCGCCAGGTTTCTAAAGTGGTCTCCAGGGTCAACAAGGGCTGACCAGCCCGCCACCCGCCCGCTCGCCAGCCCGCTGAGGGCCCGCTGGGAAGACCAGTGGCCAGCGGTGGGCAGGTCCCTCTCCAGCCTAGACCCCTCCCAGTGGAGGCCTGTGGTCACCTACCTTATGCTGGGGGCATTTCAAAGAAAAGTTATCTTCGGTGAATATGCAACCTGTGGCCAAAGAGAAGTTGGTGTGGTTAGGGCGCTTCGGATGTCTAGTTGGGCTGGGAGGGGCCCCCCCACCCTGCTCTGCTCCCAGCTGTCCTCGGCGGCTCTGTGCCGAGCGCTAGTCAGACCCACCTAGGTGCCACCATCCCTCTGCCTGCCCCTGCACCGCAGCCCGGCTGGCCCGGCCTGTGGCACTCTCACCTGCCTGTTCACCTCAAGCTCCCCATTATTCGGGAGGCCTTCCCAGAACCCCGGCTGTGGTGGACCCCACGTCCCGGGTGCCCCCTGCTATCTTGGGCCTGGCCGGACTGGGAGCTGCCCAGGAGAAAGCTCCCTGCGGATGTCTTGCTCAGGGTCTCTGCCTCCCTGGAAGGCCAGCTCTGGGCACCAGCTCTGGCTTCACCCTGGGTGTGAGGCCAGCCCCGGAGGAGGCTTTGCCGCCCAGTGGGGCTCACTGAACAAACGCTCAGGGACTGGGTAGTGCAGTCACCGGTTTAGATTCAAGCACCAGCTACTTCTCTGAGCCTTGGTCTCCACATCTGTCACATGGGCACTCTGCCGCCTACTGTGTCCATGGTTGGCACTGATGAGGATGTCTGTAAACCATCGCACCTGTGAGGCCAGGAGGGGATGCACCCTGAGTGTGGGGCAGGGCTAGGGAAGTGGAGGAAGGTATCAGGTCCAAGCAAATGCCCCCAGGTATCTGAGGGCCCAGGGCACTGCCCACCCTGTGGGAACATGGAGGGTGGCTGAGCACGGCCTGTCCTTGATGCCCACCTCAGGCCAGGGGTGCACTGATGTCTCAGTGAGTCCCCACTTCCCTGTCTGCTGCACTTAGGGAAACCTTTGCTTTTCCCCCTGGAACCCTCACCCACCACACCCTGGGGAGCCTAGTCCTGGGTCCACTCCCCTCCCTCCCATGCCTCATCCGACATGGTTCAAAACAAACCCTAAAGCCACAAATAGCCAGAGGCCCAAGCTTGCCAAAGAGAGCTCTCTTGCCCATGCTGAGGCCAGCTGTGGTGGCTAGTGGGCAGGGCTGAGAGGCAGCAGGGGCAAATCTGTAGCCTTGAGGGCCAGGCTGGAGGGCTCTAGGCCTCTCTGAGGGGGGGGTGTCTCCTTTCTCCCCGCCCACCCCTGCCAGAAACTGGGGGCCTCAGTCCTGAAACCGCCCATGAGTTTCTGCACTTCAGGGCCAGCAACCGGAAGTGGGTCATCAGTTTTTCCCCTTCCCTGAGCTCAGGCAAGCCAGACGTGGTTCTGGGACTGAATTCACACTTCCCAAAAAGCACTGGACTGCAGCCCCAGGCTCGCTCACAGCACATAGAGGGCACCTCAGCACACACACCCACAGACCACCCTGCTGCAGGCCCAAGCACAGTCATCAGCTCGAGTCGACAGAAGTAAAGGGTAGGAGGTTACCCCTTCCAGAACCAGCTTGCTCAGTGATCCTCCTAGATCCGCACAGGCAGGGGGAGGGGAGGCCCTGAGAAGAGCCAAGTCATCAGTTCCTGGCTCCTCTCTTGGTGTCTGTGCTAGGGGGACCTGGGACCCAGCTAACAAGGTGGCCCTGGGCCCTGGGTGAGGAAAGGAAGCTGTAGTGTGTGCCCGTCCCTGCCAGCCCTTTGGGACATTACTGCTGAGCTTCAACGTGGCGCTCTTTAATGAGGCTGAACAGGGGCAGGGGCAGTGGGACAGGACAGGAGGAAAGGGAGCGGCAGGCAGCCCGGAGCCCTGCGGTCTGAGAGCTGACCCGGAAGCCCGGGAGAGCCCACCGGGTAGACCTGGGGGTGGAGGAGGTAGATGGTGCTGATCAAGGCCTGGGACTTGCACTACCCAGCCTGCTCCCTCAGTCCCCTCCCGCTCCCAGCCCCCCCTGCTGCTGGAAACCCTGCCTTCCCTCCCCTTCCCGCCGGCTGCCAGGCCCCGTCGTTCTCCCAGCTTCTCCGGCTGCTGTCTCTCCAGTGCCCAGGGCTCCACCCCTCCTCCTCTGCCAGCTACTAAATGGTGGTGCCCAAGCTCCCCACACTGTCACCTCCGGGTCTTTGATGACCCCTTGAGCTGAGGGCCATTAGTCTCTGCCCTGAGCCCAGCAGGACAGCTCCCCTTGTGCATCTCGTCTGCTGCCGCTGCCTCCAATGCAACCTGCCTGCAGGGAGGCTGCCGTATGCGGTGGACAGATGGACGGACTGCTGGAGCAGTCTCAAGCCTCCACCTGAGCCCCCATCCTTTTCAGTGTGTCTCTGCCGCTCCTGCCATCCAGCAGGTGTGCATTTGCCACCACATGGATCAGGGCTAGATGTGGGCCTTGTTCTGGCCAGCGGGACACAGTGAGAGGGACTGTGCAGTCCCACACAGAGGCCTGCTGGAAGATGAGGGACCACAGAGAGCAGGCAGGAGCTGGTCCAGCTGGGGCTGGAGATGGTCTTGCCTCAGCTGACCCGCAGCTAACTGCAGCCATCTGGGGGAGCTCCATAGATGGTGTGCCTGCGGACTCATGCCCTGCTAAGAAATACTGAAGGATGGGTGTTTAGCCATGAAGTAGGGCCTGGAGGCCAGCAGCTTGGCAACAATAGTGAGCACACTATTGGTGCCCCGCCTCAGACCTGCTGGCATGGGGTGGGGTGGGGTGGGCTTGAGGCCGCTACACCCTCATCCCTCCCACGGCGGCTGTGCGTTCTCCGCCCAACCCGAGAGGCTCTGGGACGCAGGTTCTCCCCAGCCTGGCCACCTTCTTCTATTGCCCAGATGCCTGCAGCATCCACCAGTTCTCACTCAAACACAGCTCTGGTCACACCAGCGTCTCCTCTTCCCAGCCTGTGGGCTCCCTTCATACCGCAGTCCCCGTGCTCTGCAGAGGTGCCTCTCACTGAACTCCTTGGAAGACGTCATTTGAAAGAAGTTTCTGTGGCTCCAAGCCTAGTATATGCATCCCACCACTAACCAGCTGCTGCCTGCCTCCCCTGACCTTTCCAAGTACGGCTCAAATACTGCTTCCTCTTGAAAGTCCTCCTGGATTTCCTCCCAGCTCAGACAGAACAAATCTTTCCCACAGCACACACTCTCCCTTCCTGTCTAGTCTCCATAATTTTGAGCAAGGATCATGGTTTTCCTGTCTGTCCCACTCAAAATGCGAGCCTCTCAAGGGGCTGGACAGCACTGGAAGAGAGAACACAGGATGTGGAGCGAGGCAGACAGGGCGTCACGCCCTTGTTCTGCTGGCGCCATGCTCAGTGGCCACGGGCAAGGCATTGTGTACCTAACAATGCAGGGGAGAGGTGCAGAGACCTGACGCAGGCCTGGCATGGAGTGAGCATGACGTGGGTCACTGTCAAAGGGATGTGGCTTGTGCAGCCCTTACTGCCAGTGAGGCCACGTGTCTGGTTAAGTGGCAGAGCCCACACTGAAGTCTGACTCGCACGGCTCAGAGGGGGAAGGCTGGAGCCACTGACACCCCCGCCCCGAGTCCCTGCCCCAACAAGCTCCCTCCCTCAGGCTGCAGGTACCTGAGCCCTTGCCAGAGGAAGGTCGCCACTCTTCGTATGGCCCAGTGGGCTCGGAGCTGCCTCTGCCCAGAGCGGAGCCCACTCTCCGGTGGGGAGGGGGGGCAGCTGTTCCCCAGGAGGTGGCAGGGTGCTCCACAAGGGGGGGTCACAATAACCTCCCCTTCCTTCAGGCCAGAGAAGAGGGGTAAAGGCCGCAGGGAGGTGGGGACAGAGGTCATGCAGCTGCCCCCGAAACAGGACTGAGGCTGCCCTTGCTGGGCAGTGTGGGTGATCTCACTTGCTGCTCCCAACAGCTTGGGAAAGCAGAGATTATTGTAGCCTTCATCTGATAGATGGGGAAGCCGAGCACAGAGACCTCAGTGCACTGCCAAGTCCACGTCGGGAATGCCACCAGGGTTTCAATCCAGACCAAAGCAGCCTTTAAGCTCCCTTAAATACTGCCCCCATCAGTGACTAAAACTCCATCATAAAAGTGGCTTTCCTTAAATGAAACAAGACGTGTCTCTGAGCCTTGGTTAAAGCCTTTGACAACTATTAAGCCTTCTCAGACTGCTCTCTATCTTGCAGTTTATGCCTCTGGGTGCTCCTCAGGCTGGTGGCTTGGGACAGACCATCTCCTTGTCCCTAGCGCTGCCCAGCACAAGCTCTGGTCAGGGAAGGGTCGCTGGGGCAGGAGAGGAGGGAAGCTGAGGATTCCTGTGGGGCTGGGTCCCAGCGGCTGTGCCCAGGGTCCCTTGTCCCCCAAGGCTGGCTCTTACCTGCGTCGCTGGCACACGGGTAATGGTAGGTGTGGACACAGCCTTTGTGGGAGCACCCGATGGTGGCCCCAGCTTCCTGGCACCTGGAACAAGTCTGGCAAGGAAAGAGGAAAGACAGGTGAGCCTGCCACTGAGGGGCTGGGCAGGTGGGCTTTCCAGAGGCACCACATGGTTCCTGCTTCCTTCCTACACGACGGTCCCTGAAAATTGGCCAGGAGGCTCAGAATGGGGTGCACATGCCCACAGAGTTGATTCTGTGGCAACCCCTGAGCTGCAGCCATGGTGGGGGGGGCCCTTTAGGCGAGGGGGGAGGACTCTTTGTGGATGAACCCGTGGCCGTGACCTCCCGCAGACCTGGGCCTGAGTCCCAGCTCTGTCTCGTGGCCCTGCGGACCTCAGCCAGCAGCTCAGACTCTCTGCACCTCAGCCACACAGTGAGACAGCATCCCCTTCAGGGTGGCCGTGAATATTAAACGAGCCATTGTGTGCCCAGTGGATGACAACTGCTGGTGCCAGTCATCCTGATGGCCATGGCTACTGGCTGGCACTGGCAGGGCTTCTGGGTGCAGAATGTAGAGAGTGTGTCCTTGCCCACGGACAGCACCAGGCAGCACTTGCAGCAGGTAACTTTGTGAACCCACTTTACAGTGGAACTGAGACCCCCACTTCAGGCGAGAGTGAGGGCGTGAAGCATCGTTTCCTGCCTTTCCTGGCAGCAGAACAAGCGCCAAACTTGGAAGAGATGGGCCACCCTCAGACGAGCCATCCACCCTTCCCAGGACCTGGGAGGAGATGACACAGCCGACCCCCAGATGCGGGGTTAACGGGAACCTTATGCTCGGTGCAGAGCATGAGGTGGTCAGTATGGCCACCACTGTGGCCAGCTCCCTCTGGGTCTTAAAAATGTGTCTGCTGAGCTTGGGACCTACCCCATGGCTGCCCAAGCCACCTGGAGGGAGATGTGGCAAGGACAGGGAAAGGATAGGAAGGCCACTGAGAGTGGGAAACAAAACCTGGGTCCTGGGAAGGAACAGGTTGGGCCCCAAGTCCTGCAGACCTCAGCCTGTAGGGTGGGGGAGTGCCCGTCCGGGAGGATGTCGGGAGGGCAGCAGGCCCAGGCCCAGATGCTGAGCCCCTGGAACGAATACCTAGAGCTCAGGGTGTGCCTGCTGTGCTTGGGAGCTGCCTCCTCATGACAACCTTCTGGCGCTGGCATTGCTATTCTTTTAGCTGGTCACCAATGAGAGCACATAGAAGCTGAGTGACTCGCCAACACTAGGCTGGAGCACGGGCTGGTATGCACTACTCCGTGCTGCCTGGGGTGGGGTGGGCTCCATTTCAGGCCCCTGGACTGAGAGAGACCCCATCCCAGCAGCTGGGAGACAGACAGGGATGAAGTCTCCTCCCACCCTTCACAGGCCTAGCCTGAGGAGCACCTGGGAATGTTCCCTCTGTACAAGCCGAGAGTAGGAGAGGTCAGGGTAGGAGGCTGGGGTGCATTCGGGGACACTAGGTTTTCACACGGTGGCTCTGAACAGGCAGTTTCCTTCTGATCAGGGCTGAAACACCCTGGGACTCTGGGGCCCAACGCTTCCCCCAATTCCTATTCCAAACAGGAGAGAGGAAGTGGGAGTGGGACCCCACTCTGAGGCCCATGTGCAGCCCTCGAACAGCCCTCAGGTATCTGAGACCGCACTGAGGCTTCCCAACAAGCCTCTCGGGACATTTTAGATGTGGGGAAACAGATGGACAGAAGCTCCAGGGCCTTCTGACCTCTGCACCTGCACTGAGAGGGGCTGGGGCCCGCGGACCTGCCGAAGGGCCCCAGGCTGGCAGAGAGGCCCAAATGGGGCTTCCTGACACAGCCCGCTGCAGCCAGCACTCGCCTCCTCAGCGTCCGGGGCCTGGCCTCACCGGAGGGAGACAGGCCCACGGGAGCTCTGGGCAAGGTCTGGACTCTGGGCAGACTGGGAAACTGAGGTCCCAGGGTGGGCAACACAGGGCTCAGGGACAGACTGTGTGTGGGTTTCCCAGGAGGGGTTGCAGAAGAAGGGGACCCCTTGGGGCCCCAGCTCTGTTCCTCTGGAGAGCAAAAGTAAGGCGAGCGTCAGTAGGCCTGGCAGGGTGGCAGCTGTGGCCTCGGCTGCCCTTAGGGAGGGCGGACCACCACGTGGACCTGTAGCCCAGCCCAGAGTGAACATGGGGGCTAGTCAGGGGGGTGGGGCTGGGGTGGGCAAAGGAGCTGGTATGTGGGCTGTGGGGCCAGGTAGGGGAGGATGAGGACCCCTGGGGCTGGCGACGGGCAGCGCTGCCCGATGCCAGAGTATGTCACCCTACTGGACCATGGCTGAGTATGGGGGGCCAATGGGGGCAGAAGCACAAGCCTCAGAGGGAACTCTGACCCCCACTGCCCTGTCCCACGTGCCTCCTGCTGACTGCTTCCAGGGCTCTGTCTGAGTGTCCCCTGCACCTCTCGGAGGGGTGTGTGAGAGGCGTGAGGGCCCCGTGGTAACCCCAGGGGGAGGGACACCATAGGTGGCGATGTGGCTCCTGCTGCAGTCACCGGTTCTAGCTCAGCAATGTCAACGGCAGTCAAACGGGCCTGACCTGGCCTTTAACTCAACCCTCAGGGCCCCTCCGAGCTGGGAACTAATATGAGGAAATGGGGTGCAGGGAGGCCATGTCCCTGACTGGAGCTGGGCGGCGAGGGAGGGCGGCGCTGGGCTGCAGACCCAGACCGCGCTGCTGCTCACTGACCTCGGCCCCTGAAGGCTCCCAAGCAGCGTTTCAGGACCGTTGACGAGTGGTCCTGTGCTGCCCAGGGGCCACCCTGCACGAGGGGAGCTGTGCTGCCCAGGGGCCATCCAGCAGAGGAGACACAGTCTGACTGCCTGTCGTCTGAGGCGCTCGTCCCCTCAGTCCCCAGCTGCATCTCACAGGCACTCGAGCTGGGGTAGCCTCCTGCGGTGGGCCACCCTGACATTCCATCTGGGAAGTCCCTCCGCCTGTGGGACCCCAGCCTCTTGGTAGGGGGTCGGGGAGCTCTGGAGCTAGAAGGGGCCAGCGGAGCATGCAACAAGGCTGGGAAGGCATCAGGGGGCTGAGGTGGCAAGTGCTGGATGGGGCTGGGTGAGTCTCGCCTTGGCCTGGGCTGAACCGTCACTGGCCCAAACCCCTCAGGTGCTAATTCCTTACTGTGGGCCTGTTTGGCTCAAACAGAAGTGCTGGGGGCAGCAGTGGAGGCTTCCTGGCTGCCTGCCTGCCTGGCCTCTTAAACCTGAGCTCCCCGCCCCCCTGAGCTGGCCTCTTACCATATCCAAGGCCACCTTCATAGCCTCCTGCAGCCCAAAGAGCTTCCCGGCCACCAAGTAGACCCCGCCCGTCCACACGGCGCAGGCCTCGTGCACCCAGTGCTCCTGGGTGTCCCCGCCAGGCTCTGCTGTTGCCTCCTTGTTGCACTCATGCTTTCGGGTCTTGTCAGCAGCTGGGACCACCTCCTCACTGACATCCCCTCGACCATCACAGCAGTAGCAACTCTGCAGCCGCCGGGATAGGCCCCGGGCACTGGTGCGTAGTGAGCCCTGCTTGGCCAGGTCAGCTGAGCTGTCAGGCCGGGGGGCCTTTCCGGTGGTGGTAGCAGAGGTGGCGGCAGTGGCTGCGCACTCAAGGCCCTTGAGTGTTCTCTCGAGGGGCAGTAAGGCCTCCTCACATGTGCCTTCAGGTCGCACCTTCTCCTTGAGTTTTGGCTTCTTTTTGGGGAGGCAGTGTTCAGGGTAATAGGGCCCGCAGAGGTCCCCTAGATCCTTGAAGTTGGCTGGGTTTTGGCAGAGGCAGCAAACAAGGCAAGAGGTACTCAAGGCCTTGGAAACCACGGGCCCCAGGTGCATGGTGGAGGAGAGGGGCAGAGAGGGCCGAGGCTGCAGGACAGAAGAGGCCCCAGGGAGTGTGACCAGGGAGGCCCCAGCTGTGTCCAGGGAGGAAGAGGACGAGGAAGAAGAGGCAGAGGAGGAAGGTTTTCTGTGGGGCTTGGGCTCCTCCCCAGGGGAGTTGACAACAGTGCATACAGTGGTGAACTTGTCTCGCTTCTCGACCCTCACGAAGGGTGAGAAGGCTGGGGTGCGGCTGTCTGCCCGCAGCCGCTTGCATGAGGAAATGTACTTGAGGCGGATTTCAGGCTCTGCAGGATCCAGGGGCAACACCTGCTGCTGCCGCCGCCGCTTGGCACGCCCCTTGCAGGGTGATGAGGTGGCATTCTTGGCTCGGCCCCGAGAGAGACGCTTCCGCTTAGAATAGCTGCTGTAGTTGGCGTGGCCCGGCTGCTTCTGCGCCCTCATCTGGGGCTGGCAGGACCGGCCGTCGGGGGGCTGGACGGCCAAGCCCAGCCCCTCTATCTTTGGCTTCTTGCTTCCCCCACCAGAGCTGTCCTCACTGGCCCCCTGCATGCTGTTGGTCCTGTCTCGGGGAGTCAAAAGCAGAGCAGGGCCTAGATGGGGCTGCTTCTCCAGGGAGCCTTTGGGGAGTCCCATGGCTGCAGCCCTTCCTTTCCGGCTTCTCTTCTTCGGCATCAGGACAGTTCCCCCAGGTGACAGGGCCTCTGGGGACACCAAGTCCTCAGTTTTGAAATAGTCAGTCAAGGACAATTTCTTACTATTTATGACTTTGCCTTTCAAGGATCTGTTGGCTGTATTTCTGCAAAATGCGTCGGTCCCTGAAGCTGTCGGGAGCTTCTGGCCGGCGCCCATGCTTGAGGGACCTTCTGCCCCCATGGGGCTTCCCCTGGTGCTCTTGGGTGCTCGGTCCTTCTCAGAGAAGGGTGGGCTTAGAGAGTGCCCAGGAGTGGTCCCAGGCGTTTTGCACACAAACTTCTTCAGGCTGGGTGAGGTGATCTTCTGCACGATGGCCTCCAGCTTCAGGCCCCGGCCCTTTCGGGGCGGCAGAACCTTGGTCTTCATGGCTCCCTGAAAGGCTGCCCTCGAAGCCATCTTGAGACAGGTGTCAGGCATCTCGGGCAGCAGGGGCTTCAAGGTGGCCTCGCTATTGCCTTTGGCAGGCTTGGATTTCTTAAGAGAAGACATCCTCTTGAAGAGGGTTGGGGAGCCCTCAGCTTGATCCTCCTTCACATCCCCCCGGCTGCCACTGGCACTGCCACTGCTGCTCCGTAAGACCAGGTTCCGCTTCTTGGTGGGGACTGGTGCCATGAAGGCTGACTTCCTTTTGAGTGCGTGGAGGGGCTGATCAGAGAGCTTGCCACCTGCGCTGGGCTTGGGGACCCTCACCCACTGACCAGCCCTGCCCTCCTTCTGGGAGTTGCCAGAGACCTTGAATGTGGCAGGCAGGTGGTTGTTGGCAAGGAGCTTCTTGGCAGCCCGGCAGTTGGGGACCCGGCTTTCCGAGGGTCGCCGTCGCTTGCAGTGGAAGACCTCCTGGGTTCTGGTACGGGACCGAAGGATCATGGAGCGCTGGTCTCTGCCAGGGGGGCTCGGAGAGTCTGTCTCCTTGGTCTTAGAGCCCATGGGGCTACTGTCAGAGGCCACCGGCAGGGCAGCCGGGTTGCTGGGGCTGGACGCTGCCTTGGGGGAGGGCTTCCCTGCGCGCTTGCCAGACTTGAAGGCAGCTCGCTGCCTGCCCCCCAGCTTGTCCAGTGGGGCGGGGGTGGTAGTCAGTCCAGGAGGGCCAGGTGTGCGGGGCTCACTCAGGGCTGTGAAGGAACGGGTACACATCCTGGGGAACCCTTCCGAGGCCCCCCGGCCTGGGGCCCCAGCCCCTTCCATCTGTCCTTGGGGGGGCCCTGTGCAGGATTCAGGCAACAGGAGGTCTTTGGGCAGAACTGGCGCCCTGCACGGGGAGTCCTCAGCCTCCGGAAGCCCCCGATGCACCCGCCTGCTCCGTAAGCTTTTGCCCCGTGGCACGGGCTCTTTCTTAGCAATGGGTGCCTCGGGAACGGCAGGCTTGTTGGGCTTCTGGGCCAAGGAGGCCTCCGGGGCCAGAGTGGCGGGATCCCCTGGAGCTAGCGTCCCACTGGGCCCTTCTTCCCCAGGCTTCATGTGGGACAAGGAGGACTCAAACCAGCTCTGGACCTTCGACTCGGCGCCCACAGTGGGACCCAGCAAGATAACAGACTCTCCAGAGAGGTGGCATGGGGAGCCCCAGCCAGTTTTGTGGTCCAGAGCCTCCTCCACCTCCTCCTTGGTACACATCAGTGGGGCTTTTGGGGACAGTGGGTCCCGCAGGCCAGGCCTCTGGTTGGGGCTGCCCAGGAGCTCACACAGGGAGGAATACTCCTCCTCTGCCTCCAGGTCCTCCTTCCTGCCGGTGGGCGGCAGCAGTGGCAGGTCCCCAAAGTCCGCGGCCGAGCAGCAGTGCCTGCCATCCTCTAGCCACACCTCGGCCTTGCCCACCTCAGGGCACTGCAGCAGCCCTCCTGCCTCTTCCTTTACCCCACCTGCCTCCTCCTGCTGGGTGTCCTGGGGCAGCGAGGCCTGCTCCCCAGGGGGCTCCTCCTCCCGGAAACCCAGGCAGGGGGAAGCCTCGTGGGCATCTTCCTTGCAGATGCTGTCCGAGGCCTTTGAACCCTGCTCTAGACCCTTGGTGAGCTCGCTGGGGTGCAGCCCCCACCGGGGACAAGCATCACCCAGGTTCTCCTCCGGCCAGGCAAAGGGGGTGGCGCTGTCTGCCGAGCTGGCAGTGGCCGTGTCTGGGAAGCAGTCAAAAGTGGCTGCGGTGGGGTCTGAGGTGGCACCCCCAAGGGTGGGCCGCTCACCAAAGGAGAGGGGACCAGTTGTCTTCTTGGGCTCTGGGGTGATGAAGCCCACAGAGGGGTCTTCAAACAGCCCCGGGCTGAAGTCCTTGGCATTGCTGCCCTTGTCCAGCTGTAAGGGCTCAGGCAGGGCCTCGGGCTCCCCTGGCCTCGGCCATGCGCTCTTGGCCATGGAGTCCAGGCAGGTGCTGTGGTTCTCCAGTGTGAAGGGAGGCTTGGTGGCATCCTTGGAGAGGCTAGAAACCTCGGCCCAAGCCTTGTCGGCCTTCTCACCAATGGCCTCCTGCAGGCCCAGGATCTCGGAGGCCAGGTCCTCCTGTGACAGGGCACTGAGCAGCAGCCGCGGGCAGTCCTGCTCGCCGGACACAAACTTGGAGAAGTTGTCGAGCGGCAAGCTGCTGTGCAGGCTCTGGAAGGAGTCGTCAGACTTGGTGGACATGTCGTCGGGCGAGGTCACGGAACAGGTGGACACGGACTCGGGCTTGGCTTTCGAGCTGCTGTTGGCCCTGGCAGGGCTGCCTCGGGCCTGGGTGCAGTAGAGGAAGCCGCGCTCCAGAGGGTCCTCAGAGCCACTCAGGTAGTCAGCCTCGGGTGGCTCGGCATGGCTGGACTGCGGCGTGCTGTTTGGCGGCTCTGACAGTGGCGTACCCGCCTGCTCAGCTGAGTAGCCGCTGCCCTCGGGGCTACAGTGCTGGCCTTTGTGCTGCTCTGGTGTCCTGGACACCAGGGTCTTCACACCCTTCTTCTGGGGCATGGCAGCCTTGGAAAGCAGCAGCTGCTGGACCGTGTTGGAGATGTTCTCCACCTGTGAGGTCAGTGCAGTGAGGCTCTGCAGGCTGAGGTCTGACAGCAGGCTCTCGGGGAGCTTGTCCTTCTGCAGTGGCTTGCAGTTGCTGGCCTGTGTGTCCACAGAGCTGGCGGCGTCTGTCGGGGAGGGGTTAAGCAGGGGCATGAAGTGGCTGTGGTCTGAGATGCCTGTGGGGAAGGCTCCTGTGCTGAGCGGCTGCTGGCTGTAGGGAAAGTTCTCCAGGTTTGGCATCAGCGGTGACGGGGTGGAACTGTAGGAAGGAGAGCGGCCCAGGGAGCGCACAGGCGAGTGGCTGGAGCTGGGGCTGAAGGTCTGGTAGTACTGCTCTGGAGTCCTGATGGCCGCATCTGGCTGGCAGTAGCCCAGGCCTTGCGGCCCGTAGTGTTGGTACTTGGCCAGGTTTTGGTAGTGGAGGGTTTCCTGGGCGTGGTGTCGGCTCTGAAGAGTTTGCTGCTGCTGCTGCTGCTGCTTCTGCTGGTTGTAGCTGAGGCGGCCAGACTGGTAGGCATGAAGGTTCTGGACTCCTTGCCTGGGGGCCAGGCTGGCGCTGGCAGCTAGTGGCCTGTCATGGGGCTGTGCAGATGGCGCTGTACAACTCTTGTAGGAGTGAGCCCCCTGCCCGCCACCCTGGCCAGTGGAGGAGTAGGTGGAGGAGGTGGGGAAGGATTGCGACTGCTGGGGAAAGGGGCTGCCCTGGGGAAAGGGCAGGGGTGACGTGAGGTCATTCTGCAGCTTCTGCCTCTGGAGCTTGGGGTAGGCCAGGGGCTGCGGGGGTGCTGGTGGCTGGGGCTGGGTGTGCAGGGGGTGAGTCCGAAAGGGCAGCTGGGCAACCTGCTCTGGGTACTGCCTGCCTGGGGGCACCGATGTCTTCTTCATCAAGTTCTCGTCATATTTGCCCACCCCCCCTGGCAGGGTCTGTGGCTGGGGTGGTGGTGGCTGGGGGGTCCCCCAGGCCTGCAGGCTTTCCTCTCCTGCATAGCGGCCTGGGTAAGGGCTGTTGTCCTGGATGCTGTAACTGGAGAACGCCGGCCTCCCCGGCAGGACCTGCTGTGAGGGCAAGCCTTTGCTGCCGCGGGCGGTGCTGGCAGCTATGCCTGCACTACCCTCATAGCCCGGGTACGGCTGTGGGCTGTAATAGTCCTTCGCAAGCAGCCGCTGCCGGTCACAACTCAGCCCGGCCTGGCTCTGCTGCCTATAATTCTCCAGGCGAGATGTCTCCTGTGAGGTCTGCTGGTAGTTCTGTTGTTTGCCATGGAAACCACACCTTTCTCGAAAAGACTGCATGACTTGGGCTGGTTATCTGTGAAAAGAAAAGGGAGGTGGGGTGGGGTGGGGGAAGACAGTCAGGGAAGGGGTCAGGGGGATAGCAGCTCAGATGGGCCATTTCCTTTCACCTCAGCAAACCAGCTGCCTGCCACCACTCATCCAGCCCTGCCCTCCCCCCACAGCTCTTACCACTGCCCCCTTTGCCTGAGCCTCCCCCCAGCTTCGCACATACTGACGGCCTCTGTTGCAGGGGTGGGAGGGAGATGTGCACTGGGCTGCCCACCTCTCCAGGTCACCTGGGAGATGCCACCCTTCCCTCCCCAGCCAGCTCCCCACTCTGCCCCATGCCACCCCTCCCAGACATTTAGCAGAGCAATTCCAGACACCCTGCTCCCGGAGGCTGCTGAATCCTGTAATCTGGTCCCAGCTCGGCAGTGTTCAAGCACAACCCAGCCAAGCCAGGGGCCCGGAAGCTCTGCCCCTGGCCTGGAGAAGCCACTCCCAAGGCCTGCCTCGAGTTCCGATGCGCACACACCTCTCCTATCACTGTCTTGCTGTCTGGAGCCTGTCTGCGCCTTCTAGCAGACGTCGGTTGGGGGCCTCTGAGCCACTGTAGGCATTAAACAGCCCCTTCTCTGACTCCCAGGAATGCAGGACAGCAGCACCGGCCTTTCTATGTTTGATACCACAGGTGTGTAAACAGGTTGCACGGCCCAGGGCGAGGGAGTACATGCTAATGGAGGACAGAACTACAGCTCCTCCATGTGTGAAGTAGCCCGGCCCTCCTAGCAGGCCAGGATGGCCTCCACAAGGTCAGGGCCAGGTCACACCAGGCCCAGAACCCATCTGTTTATGATTTTAGGGCTGGGGCCCCAGTGAGACCCAAAGCAGGACTCAAGGTCAGGAAATGACCCTGGGGGTGAGGGCCCTTCAGGGCAAAACAACCAGTTTCACAAAACTGGCCAGTCTTCTGCATGCAGACTATAGGTTCCCTCAACTGGCTGGGAGCCTGGTCACCCCAGAAGACCCTCCTCAGAGGGAGGAGCAAGGGCACTCCTGAATGGGCAGTGCCAGGGGTGCTCGGGATTTACCCACAGCCCAGGGTGGGGTTGGAGTGGGGGAAGGGGGAATAGGAAGACCATGACTCAGCTAGGCCAGCCCATCCCAGGCCCCCGGGAGAGCACAGGGGACTTCTTAGTTCAAATTTCCAACACGGAAAGAGGAAGGGGCAGCCTGCCTTGGGCCACAAGATTCCGGGGTTACAGGAGAGACCAGAATGAACTAAAGGGGCACAGGGAAGAGAGACACGGAGATGTGGGATGGGGAAAAGAGCAGAGAGTGACGTGGGGCCGGGGAGGAGGGACTGCCCCTAAAAGGCCCAGCTCACCCCTCCTTGGCACCGGAGTCCTATCTAGCAGCTTTCTCATTCAGTGTTGAGGGCTGACCAAGGAAGGGAACGGAGGAGGGACTGCAGCTGGCTGAGCAGGGCAGGCCCTGGGCAGTGGAGGCACTGCTCTGCCCAGGGGTGGAGGCACTGCTCTGCCCAGAGGGGACCAGTCTCCCACAGGGCAAGCTCCTGTCCACAGGTGGCAAAGCCCACTCCCCCGCCTCTCCCCAGATTCATTTCAGGCATACCCAACACTGAGAACCGTGCCTGCCCTTCTGACCCACTTCAATCCCATCTCTGGACACTGGGATCAAACACCGAGGGAGGTGCCTGCTGCCACACAGCCAGCCCAGGGGAGGCAGGGCAGCCTTGAGTTCTGGCCTGGAGGCCCCCTGCCAGGTGGACAGCCCTGAGTCTCCTGACCTGCCCCTGGCAGAGAAGGGTGCTCGCCAGACTGCCACAGGGCTGACCAGCCAGGTGGCCCTCTTCTGCTGCAGGCAGGCACACTCAGGTGCCTTTCCACTCGGCCCACACACGGGCCAGCAGATGGAAGCCACCTCTGCACCAGGCAGAGGCACCACCAGAGCTCTGCCCTCCCCCACCTCCCATGTTGTGTTTATGAGCCCAGAATTCACAAACCTAGGCCTGCTCTGAAGGCTGTGCCTTGTATATCTGCACAAATTATATTTCAGCTTTTATTAGTCCCAGATCGCTCTCATTTCCTGCTGTGTGTCCTGTGGATATCATTAACATTTCTACAGCTTTTATTTTTTTCACATTCTCCAAAATGCATCAACCAGAAACATTATTTAAAAAGGAAAGTGCTATGACCAGTGTCCCACCCCTCCCCCAGCTTTAATCGGTCCAGCTGCTGCGTCTTTTAATTTTGTCGAGCTGTATTGCAGGCGGGTTTCCCAATGCACATGAGCAGCTGGATGTGGTGAAAGCATCTATCTCTAAGAAAAGACAGTTCAATTAAAATACAAAAAAGCCCAGTGCCTGGCGGAGAATGCAGCCAAAAATGCTCACCCCAACACCAAGCTCCAACCCCAGGCAGGGGAATGGGCGCCAGAACAAAGGCAGGACACCAAGGCCTGGGGGACAACCAGCTCTGCCCAGAGGAGGTGAGGCTCCACGTCTTTGCAAGCTGCCACTGTTGTTGTTAATCATTATGATTATGATTACTTTTCAAGAACACTAGGGAAGGACAAGGAAAGAGGGAGGCAGAGGGGGTGGGGTGGGAAGCATCATGGGGGCAGGACAGAAAGTGGCCCCGTGGCAAAAAAACGGTGACCTTCGAAGTTGTGGGAGAGGAGGGGCAAAGCAGGGCAGACTGGGGGTCTGACCTCTGTGGCTTCAGCTGGAGGGAGGAGTGGTGGTCAGGGGAGGGCGTTGACCTCCTCACAGGGCTCCTTCTTGTCCAGCCAGCTCCCCGCCTGCCTCTTCTCCCAGACACTTGTTCAAGGACTTATCTTTGCAGGGCTTGTGCAACTGGGAAGGAGGAAGGAAGTAGGAGGGAAGGGAGGAAAAGAAGAAGCCGGTCTCACACTCCCTATGACGACTCCTGGAAACTGGCCTTCCCTTGGGCCACAGGACAAGGAAGCGGGCCGGGGAGGCACATGTGCTGGAGGCTGGTTCTGGTTTGGGCAGCCCTGCATCCAGGCCTCAGGAGTTCCCTTGGCGCAGCTGCAGCTGTGGCCTCATTGCCCTCCGCTCCCGCCCCAGCCAGCCCCATGGCCATGGGCTAGCGGGGCAGGAGAGAGGAGCATGAATAGATCCCGCCCCAGTCCTTCCAGGGCCCAGCAGTCTTTCCAGGCACAGACTCTGCCCTCTGCCCTCTGCCCTCCCCAGAGGGCAATGGAGCAAAGGGGGCACCCTTAGCTGTGAGCACCTACTCGGTACTGGTGCACTTCCCAAATGCCTACTTTCCTAGAGAAAGGGAGGTGCAGAGAGGAAAGAGACCTGGTATGAGCCCCCACACGAAGAATCTTTCTACTGGAATGTCTAAAGTAGGAGCCGTGCCCCAGATCAAGTGTGGATACCCCTGCCTGGGACCCACACCAAGAATTCTTTCAGAGGAAACATCTTGGAGCATGACAGCAAGAGGGCATGGCAATGGGGTGCTGCTGACACCTCACGTTTCCCAGGTCCCTTCTGCAACCTCAAGGGCCCTGGCACCAGTCAGGCCCACTTAACTCCGGAACCAGACCCACCTGAGGGAGGTCCATGGGCAGTAGTGCTTATAGGCCACCTGTGGTCACCACGGCTGCCTCAGAGAGAGGTCCCTGTCCACCCACCCACCCACCTCCACAGGGAGATGGGGGAGTGCGAGCCAGACTGCTGCAGCCCCCACACAGGGGGTGCTGCGTGGCCAGCCAGGAGACTGTGGCTATAGTTCTTCCTGAAGGGAGTGTGTGTGTGGGGGGGGGGGCGGAGGGGCAGGGGGTGACAGAGAAGGGAGAGTCTAGAAGAGAGAGAGGGAGAGGACAGAGAGGAGGAGGAGGAAAGGGGAAAAGGGGGGAGAGGGTGGAAACAGACAGGAGCTGTCAGGAAAAAAGGGGAGAAGAGGAAGCTTTCTGCTCCCCTGCTTCCTGGTTTGTAGCTGGAAGAGGGATAGTTCTAAACCCACCCTGTTGAAGGCCTGAGAAGAGGAAGGAGAAAGCCACCTGAGTCAGGAAGCAGGGGGTGGCACCTGGGGGTGTCCAAGGAGGCTGCAGGTGATAAGCACTGAATATGAGACCTTGCTGAACTGACGAACCGTTGACCAAATTGACTGGCGTCCTGTGAGGTCTATTTTGAATCCTGAAGGTCTGGCGTGAACCGGGGAAAAGGTAGACCTTCCAAGGAGTCCACAAGACAAGCAGCCCAGTGCCCACAAGCCTCTGGGACGGGCAGGATCTTCAGGCCAGGGGCAGAAGGAGGGCCATCCCGGGGCCCAAGGAATCCCAGAGAAAAGGAACCCCCACCCTTGCGAGCAGCATACTTGGTACGCACCCTCCTCATTCATGCCCACCCGTGCCTGCATCTTCCTGGGAGAACCACCCAGGGGTTCACCACGCCCCTCCCAGGGCATGTCCGGCTGCTGACATGGCCTTGTGCAAGTACTTTGACCTCCTCAAGCCTCAGGGCCCTTGCACCTGCTGCTTCCTCTGTGGGAATACTAGTCTCGGGTATCTACAAGGCCCTGCCCACAAGCTTTGCTAACGTCGCCTTCCCAGACCAGCGTTTGAAACGGCACACCTTACACTCACTCCCTTTGCTTCTCCAAAGCACTTATCTCCTTGTAATTAGCCATGTGGCTAGCTGGCTGCCTTTGGTCTCTCCTTATTGTAACAAAAGTTCCATGAGAGCAGGGATTTTTTCTTTTTGCCTGTTTTGTTCATAACTATATCCTCATTTCCCATAACAATACATATTGCATAATGTGTAAAATGTTATGTTAACCCTATGAAAACATCCTGAGCCAGAAGCCAGGAGGCGGTATGGAGCGCACTTGGGTGGGGCCCGGAACTTGTGCCCACAGTGCCTCACTCATCCAACAAAGAATGCTCTCCCTCCAGCCTGGCAGGCAATGCACCTGAGTGAAGCAGGTGGAAATGGAGGCAAACTGGGGTCCTGGTCACAAGTGCAATGAGGGGGGGCACCAC